GCCACATGTATGTATTTCGAGCAATAAGAACTCTTTGAGAGATGGAGCTTGCCCACGCTGTGTGTTGCTTCTCACCCACAAAACCCCCTCACAACCTTCAGTAAGTCCCTAACATTCATCCACTCTAACAGGAGGTTTTCACTTGAAATCTCAACTCTCCTGCTGTGAAAACCAAAGCAAGAGTTCAGTTCCTTCTCCTGCTAAAGCCTCATCTTCCTCAGGTACTCCACACATCCATAACCTCACACAGGCAGGGTTTGTGGGGCCAGCTACCTACTGAGTGATGTCCCAGTGCCTAATGCTTTGGAGAGCTGAGCCATTCATTCCCATTTCTAGCAACTGTTCTGTGCTTCCCTTTGACAATGCTCTGGAATGACAGTGATGTTTTTGTTGCTATCATTAGACAGAGTCATTAATATCCCCTTATAAAAAACAACACATTTTGGATGTTCATGAGAGTCAAAGAGCTGAAATCCTAACTGGAAATTTAAGGTCTTACCCAACGTTATCCAGCTGAAAAAGCTGCTCTGTGAACGTTGTGAGGGATTCCATTTTACAACTAGAAACTCTGGGGATTGAAGCAATTTGTGCTCCCATACAGATGGAAGTGATTATGAACCCTCGGAATTAACACACATTGTTCTGACTTCGGAATGTAACAGCAAAGCAAGTTTCTCCAAAGAAATGCTCTACCAAGCTAGCACTGAGCTGCTTCTAATTCCAGCTGGATTCCCCCGAGTGCAAGATGTGGTTTTCATTGTTGTTATCCTGCTGGTTTACAAAACAGCACCACTGTATCTCTAGAAGAGCTTTTATTGCAGTCATTTAACTCGATATCAAGCCAGTCTCACTTCTTCCCCACTCATTTTAATCCTTGCAGCCAGAATTCCAGGTAATTGGAAAGGAAAATAGAAACAGAAAGATCTGGGAAACCAGGGAAGATTCTATGAATCCTGTCAAGTATTTAAGGTTTTCTGGGCTCTTTGTGTCTCATCCACTTTGACCAAGATTTGATGAATGAGGTGAGGAAGGTGATGGAGACCCAAGCTCTTCTCAATGCTCCAGTAGGGCCAGCACCATTCCTCCCATGCACCTACAACCTTCCCACAGCACCCAGAGGGACCTGAGCAACCAAGGCACATTTCTTCTCAACAAACTAAGTTGTAGGACTGAGTCTGTGAATTAAGGCCAAGTCCTCTGGGCCTTGAAAGGATTCTCTTACAGGTTGTGATGGTCTAGAGATAAGAAAGAGGCAGCTGCTCATTCTCCATCCAAACTTAGTTTCACACATTCACATGAATTAAGCACATAGAATTCCAGCCTGGTTTGTGTTGGAAAGAACCTTAAAGCTCCTCCAGCTCCAACCCCCTGCCACGGGCAGGGACATCTTCCACTAGAGCAGGTTGCTCCAAGCCCCTGTGTCCAACCTGCCCTTGAACACTGCCAGGGATGGGGCAGATCTAGAAGCTTCTCTCAAGGCACCCTTAAGATCTAAAAGCCACCCAACTTCAAGCTTCAGCCCCCAAAAGGAACACACAAAAGGATTCAAACCACATCAGGATTTTAGATCAAGTCAGCCCTGAGTTTTGTGATGTCTTTCTTTATGTTATTTACCTGTTCTGCTCTCACAATGGAACTACCCCTTGGCAGAACTATAAAAAGCTGCAATATTTAACCAAAGGTTTCAAACCAAAGGTGACTACAACAGTTTCTGTGGACTTCAGCAACGCTTTCCTGATTAAATAACAGAGTAGAAGCCCCCCCTAAAATTCCGATTTACTTTTATGATGTTTTTATATTCAACAGCATAAAATCTCAAGCATTAACATGTGAACCACTGGTGTTGTACAAACCACTTCAAAGCCTGGCCAAGGACTACTCCAGCTTGTACCAGCACCAGTGACCCCATGTAAATTTGGAAACTTTTAATAGAAATACATACTTAAAGTCCTAATTTACTTTTATGAGTTTAAAGACATGCCAGGGAAGGCAGAAACCAACTGCAAGGACTTGGAAGGCACCACGGGTGAGTGAGCATGTGTTCAACTGCTCAGAGGCCTTTAGGGATTGGACAAACTGAAACAGGGGAAGTTCAGGTTGGCTTTAACCTGCCAGAGGGGACACTGAGATGAGCTCTGAGGCAGAAGCTCTTCCCTGGGAGGGTGCTGAGGCGCTGGCACAGGGTGCCCAGAGAAGCTGTGGCTGCCCCATCCCTGGCAGTGTTCAAGGCCAGGTTGGACACAGGGGCTTGGAGCAACCTGCTCTAGTGGAAGGTGTCCCTGCCCGGGGCAGGGGTTGGGACTGGAGGAGCTTTAAGGTCCCTTCAACCGAAACCAGTCTGTGATCCTATGAAGAGTTCATAATCTCACTCAAGGAAGCAGCACAGGGCACTTGCATCATTAACGGTACAACAAGCTCCAGAGCAGGAACCAAGCCATGAAAGGCTGAAAAGCAAAGTGAGCAGCATCACGACTCAAATGGCAGAATGAACTAATGTATTTACTTAAGCAGAGATTAAGGAAAGCATTGATTTGATAGTAATGGAGAGAGAAAGCTATCAAAGCCTTTGAAGGAAAGAGTATTTAATCCCTGTTTCTCACTAGTCTTCCCTATGAAAGTCAAGTGTGAACAGCTGTCTGCCATTATTAATACCAGGAACAAAGAGGCTCAGTCTAAGTTATATTAACAGCTTAGTTAAGTGAATTTCCAAGATTAGCAGGACTTGATTAACTTCATCTTATAGTATTTTAGCCTTTAAGTCATTTCAGAGCCACTGGAGGTTATCTTCCAAAATACACTAAGCATGGGCATGATACCAGAAGTCTGGAAAATGGTAAATGCAATCCAAGCTTCAAAAATAAACACCACAAAGAGACCCAGAAGCTTGATTTCAATTTTGGGTAGGGAATGGGGGGAAAAAAGACTGGTGGAAGTGGAAAAACATCTAGAAACTAAGCATGAAAAAAGCTATTCCACGAGTAAAACTGTCAAAGCAATCTCATTTCAAGCTTTACAAACAGGTGAGAGACTGAAATGTCAGTGTTTCTGTTGGAATATAAATAACTCTCTTGGCACTTCCTGGTGTAAGATGCTTGTAAGCAAGCTGGGGAGATGGATATTGATGAAGTATGAATGAATCCACAGTTGTTAAGTATCCTTTGGGTGTAGCTGAACAATGGCTCACTGCAGTAAATGGAAGTGCTAAAGAAGCTGGGCTCCAACTGGGTCCAAGCTTTACCCCAAATACTCCAGGTGAGCTGGAGACAGAATAGGCTCAGATGGAGAGAGCACAAAGCTGAGATCCAGTTCTCAACCTTCCCCATCCTCTAGAGTTCCCTCACCAAATAAAAGCATGATTAAGACCAAAAAGGTGCATCTCTAAGGATAGATTCAATGTACAACATGTAAAACATGAAGGAGTCACCTGCACAAATTCAGAATGGACTGTTTTGTTGCTGTGCAGAAGAGATTTGGGGTTGCTGGTTGCAGTGACTCATGAAGTTCACCCTGTTAAGCTGTTAAAGAGCACAAACCTATTGGAACATAATGAACTGATGAAACCTGTGAAGCACTTTTCCCATCCTACCCCATGTTTCCAAGGCCATAGTTGCACCATGTATCCAGCTTTAGGCACCACACTTGAAAGACAGACATGGATTCAGAGGGAGAACAGGAGAAAAAAGAATGGTCAGAAATTAAAGAGACACAACCCATGAGGTAACACTTGAAAAAGAGGAGGTTCTCTTTCAAGTCTGCAAAGAGGAAGAGACTTAAATGAACAGATCATTATAACAAGTGATTATGTGGTGATTAACCAGAAGACAAATTTGGATTACAAGTCAGGAAAGAGTTTAAGGGCCAGGACAGTAAAGCATTGGAACTAAGTAGTACTTAGAACACAGGCTTCCCTTCAGAGATAATTACACAAACATCTACCAAGGGTAGCATAAGAGCAGCTGACCCTGACCTAGGACAGGGTAACAGCTTAAATAGCCACTCCAGGTCCCTTTCAGGCCAGACATTTGAACATTTGCTGAATCCAAAACCAAATCAGTTAGCAGCAGGTATGGGTACTAGGGGATGGTTTGGGTTGAAGGGACCTGAAAGCTCCTCCAGCTCCAACCCCTGCCCCGGGCAGGGACACCTTCCACTAGAGCAGGTTGCTCCAAGCCCCTGTGTCCAACCTGCCCTTGAACACTGCCAGGGATGGGGCAGCCACAGCTTCTCTGGGCACCCTGTGCCAGCGCCTCAGCACCCTCCCAGGGAAGAGCTTCTGCCCAAGAGCTCATCTCAATCTCCCCTCTGGCAGGTTCAAGCCATTCCCCTTGGCCTGTCCCTCCATCCCTTGTCCAAAGCCCCTCTCCAGGTCTCCTGGAGCCCCTTTAGGCCCTGGAGCTGCTCTAAGGTGTCCCCTTCAGGAGCCTTCTCTTCCCCAAGCTGACCCAGCCCAGCTCTCAAATACAAGTTGGCCAACTTCTGAACAATCACGTCTTTGCCAAAGTCAAGGATGATTTTCAAAGTACATTAACAGCAAGGAAGGAAGGATGATTAAAGGACTTGTTTTTACCTTTTGTACCATAAAGTCACACATTTGCAAGACCTCAGATTTTCCAGCTTGTGTTTCTTATAAGTACAGGGGGAGGATACTGATTAAATGAATAATACAGCAAATTAAAGACACAGCAATGAGAATGACACAAATGGATCCTCAAACATGCCAGAATACAAGTAACAGAACAGTGTGTATGGACTCACAGCATTTACTACTTGCAAAGGAAAAGGTTATTATTAAGTGGTAAGCCCTTCTCTAAGCACCACGGAAGAAAGCGTCATGTACAAAGATGTAAGGGAAGTGAAGACAATGGTTTGAAGAACATCTCCACTAGTTCACAGACATTCCCCACAGAGAATGGTGTTACAAGACAGCAGATGCACACTAATGCCACACTGACACTAAGCAGATAGTAGGTAAGAATAGAAGGAAATCTCAGTGTACTCACCTGTGCTATATTTTTGTTGAGAAGATACACTCCATATTCAAACTGAAGCTTCTCTCCTCCTTTTGGATATAAAGGAAATCTGATGGGAAAGAAAACACGGAAAAACAAAAGCATTTAAGGTGAAGTTATTCAAATGCTTAAGTAAATGTCAGAACACCACAGACTCCTGTTCTGAGGAGGATTTAAAACGCCTGCATCACCAACTTCTTCAGGGAATCCCCTTCATGGAATGCACGTGGGAATCCTCTGCAATTCCAATCCATCAGCCTTTTAAAACCTGATGTCAAAATTCAGCTAAAGGATTGTGTTTCCTGAAGTATCTTAGGTTTTTAAGAGATGCTTTATGACTCTCCCAGTGCTGCTACTTTCCTCTCATGAAGTGAATCATGGGTTTGGGTTGGAGGGAGCTTAAAGCTCCTCCAGCTCCAACCCCTGCCACGGGCAGGGACACCTTCCACTAGAGCAGGTTGCTCCAAGCCCCTGGGTCCAACCTGGCCTTGAACACTGCCAGGGATGGGGCAGCCACAGCTTCTCTGGGCACCCTGTGCCAGCGCCTCAGCACCCTCACAGGGAAGAGCTTCTGCCTCAGAGCTCATCTCAGTCTCCCCTCTGGCAGGTTCAAGCCATTCCCCTTGGCCTGTCCCTACATCCCTTGTCCAAAGCCCCTCTCCAGGTTTCCTGGAGCCTCTTTAGGCACTGGAGCTGCTCTAAGGTGTCCCCTTCAGGAGCCTTCTCTTCTCCAGCTGCCCCAGCCCAGCTCTCTCAGCCTGGCTCCAGAGCAGAGCTGCTCCAGCCCTCGCAGCAGTTCCGGGGCCTCCTCTGGCCTCGCTCCAGCAGGTTCAATGTTTATTTCCCCTATTTAATAAATAAGCATTTTGCACAATTCCAAATACCTGGATGCAGCACTTGCAGCACTTACAAAGGCAGCAGAATGGCTCATTTCATAGAATCATTTCTGTCTTAAGTGCTGCATCTATCAGAGAGCCAAAACTTTAGTCCCTGAACTACTGAAACTGAGAGTCTGCATCGAAGAATGTGATTTTATGTGTATATTTTAGGAATCTTTAAGTGAAGCAGTTCTCATAAACACCTTTAATATCCGTTTCTTAGGATGGTCTTTTGACTGTTCCTTACCACCAGAGGTTGCGAGGTCATCATGGGCCATGCAGTCATCTTGGTACAATCTAAAATGTACCTTTATGGGAAGCACACCATGAAATGAGCTTTTTGCCTTTACAAGCACCGTATGTTCTGTAGCTCCTAATCAAGATCCTCAGCATATTACCTGTGCACAACCCACATTACATCAGAGACCAAAGCCTCCCTCAAATAGAAGATAACAAATACAGGAGATCCCTATCTGCTAGAAACAACACACATCCTAGAGGGCTGCTTACACAAAGTGTATTTTATCATCAATCAGCCTCACAGTAGAGTACTTTAAAGGAGAATTATATAGAGCCATTAAAGCTAAGGGTTAACAGGTCATGATCACAGCAGATCAAATATTAAGACATCAGCTTCAAGTTTAAGGCTATTTTCAAACTCACTGGGTCACTTTGAGTTTGAGGGATATAAAAATCCCTGTGAATAGTCTCTCTCTAGCTCACCTTGCTTAATAGAGCTATAAATCCAACTAGTTCCCCATGCAAGAGGAGAAAAGCTTTCCAAGTGAACACACGCTACAAAAATGCCACCAGGCATTATCCTAAGTGTAAAACCCAAATCAAAAGGAATTCATTTCAGTATCTACAGTTACACTAAGGAGAAAGAGCAGGGTTTAGATTTAAAGATACCTCTACAATTAAGAGCATAAAACTAACTCAAGCTTGACAATAAAAGCCCCATTAGGAACACAAGCCATGGTTCACTAGAAGATAGGATTTCATTAAGTCACTGGTAAAGGGAACCGTGTATTCTGTTGTTAGACACAGGCAGTGTAGAACAGAGGATACAACCTGGTTTACAGCACTTGCCACCATCTCACACACAGTTTCTTTTAAGGGGTAAAGACTAAGTGTTGTATTTAACACATTGGTCCTGCCTCTTTGCCAATATTCCCATTCCTGCCCTCTAACTTCCACTAATGACACTTGAAAGCCTCTCAACTACATCCACCCTCGTGTCAGCTTTCATAACATAACCATTCACATGAGAGGCATCACTGGATGTCTTTGTGCATGAGCATTTTTGACTCAGAGAATTATATTACCAACTTCCACATCTCCTTCTTTGTGTGTTATCTTGCTTGCTGGTCACAAGCAATAAACTCAAGGGGCACAAACCCCAACATTTCATATACTGCTGCACTGAGTATAATTGAATGCAACTTTAACTGCTGGCTCCCTATGTGAAATTCTTCCTGCCTGCTCCTTAGACAAGCTCTGTAAGCTGCATGTCTCAGGCATGCTGCTCTGGAAGATTTTAGTTATACTTGCTCCAAAAAATCCCTCTGAAAACTACTATTTCAGTAGCTTTATAATCATAAAGTGCTCAGTAAAACGGCAAATGGCATCTGCCTGTTCACTCTGCAACATGTACCTTCCTTGTTCCCATTCTGGGTGATACGTTTGGGGAAAATAAATCAATAAGCTCATTTAAAGTAGAACACATTGTCTAAGAGGTCATATTCAAAGGAGTAAGTGTGATGTGTTTAGTGGAAAGTAGAAAACCACCACGCTACAGGTGTCTGGTGTGTGATCACCAGAAGAGATCATAGAACGGTTTGTGTTGGAAGGGCCCTTAAAGCTCCTCCAGCTCCAACCCCTGCCACGGGCAGGGACACCTTCCACTAGAGCAGGTTGCTCCAAGCCCCTGTGTCCAACCTGCCCTTGAACACTGCCAGGGATGGGGCAGCCACAGCTTCTCTGGGCACCCTGTGCCAGCGCCTCAGCACCCTCACAGGGAAGAGCTTCTGCCCAAGAGCTCATCTCAATCTCCCCCGTTTCAGTTTAAACCCATCATCTCTTGTTCTATTGCTACAGTCCCTGATGAAGAGTCCCTTCTCCAGCATCCCTGTAGCCCACTTCGGATACTGGAGCTGCTCTAAGGTGTCCCCTTCAGGAGCTTTCTCTTCTCCAGCTGCCCCAGCCCAGCTCTCTCAGCCTGGCTCCAGAGCAGAGCTGCTCCAGCCCTCGCAGCAGCTCCGGGGCCTCCTCTGGCCTCGCTCCAGCAGCTCCACGTCCCTCTTGTGCTGTTCCCCAGAGCTGGATCAGGGCTGCAGGGGGGTCTCCCCAGAGAAGAGCATTTCCTTTTAGCACAGCTTAGAACAGATGGCACCTCACCCACTCCCACCTTACATCTCTCCCATTTCTCCTTCTTGGAGGGTTCCCAACATGAAGCATCTCCTCTCTACTTGCAATCTCAATTCCAAGAAGCCAACATCAATGGCTTCATTATGATCTATCCCCTATTCGTTACTGCCACACTTCTTAGGCAGATGTCAGCCTGTGGGTAAAGAACTCTTCAGTTTAAACCTCATTCAAGAAAATGTGGTGTGGAAGTCAGAAGGGAGCACATTACTAACAGCTAGTAAAGAATCTCTCATCTTCCATGCTCACTACTAATGCTAAATCAGATTTAAGTCACTAAATCATCTAATAGTCAAATCAGATCCTGTTCTTAGCACTGAAATCCTGTGGTTAACACAAATGGATGCCACTAACCTAAGAATAAAGAAAGGGGTTTGACGTACAGAGGGCAACTGATTTTCAGTCTATTTACACATAAGGAGGTTGTCTGATAGGCAACGAGTAAGCAAACAAGTACAAGCAGGTCAAAGCTTGGAGTACTGCTGATCTATGTATCCAAATACACCTACTTGTAAGAAACTCAAAGGAGACCGGTGAATCAAAGCGTGTACTCATGTATCAGAGTGCAGATTGGTGCAAGACTAAGGGGAAGAATCTCCAATTTCCTTGTAAACCATGGAGGCAAACAGGGGTGGAAAAGGGAGAAAGCCCAGCTAAGAGAAGTGTCAACATTGGTGTTATCTTACACCACAGACTCCACGTGGAAGTTTCTGGGGTATTAAACCTCATTAAACCATCCCAAGGGAGTTGTGAAAAGGCAAAAGCGAGACAAAGGTTACGTGCTGTGTTCACGGTTACTGTGAAGGGGAGAAGTAACCTCAAGTCAGCCTTTTAAATGAAAAACAGGGCTGAGAATCTACCTATGCTTCAAGTGGAGACCACAGAACCAGCACCCTGCCCTCAACGATGGAATTACATGGTGAGTGCTTCAAAGGCAACGCTTCACAAATGCTAAGTTTTAAAGCAGTCTGAGTATTTGCATAAGAAACACCACTCTGATGGGTATGAAGCTCCAAGTACCCTACTGCACCATCAACAGGGCTGCCACTTTGGAATCAGTCTTCAATGACATCTTCTCCTAACATGGTATGTAGTCAAGTAGAACACATTTAGACATAACACATACACATACCTGTAAGAAACTGAACAGCAAAGTATAATCTTACTCCAGGAAAGCACATTTTAAGGTTACAAAGCCTATAGACAGGGCACTAAATTGTCAACTCTGGTTTAAAAGCCTTCCTATAAAAAAAGAAATTCAATACATGCATTTCCAGTCAAGATGAAACTTGTTGCCATCATTTCTATTCCAGCTGAACTATAGAATCCCAGAATGGTTTGGGTTGAAGGGAACTTAAAGCTCATCCAGTCCCAACCCCTGCCACGGTTGCTCCAAGCCCCTGTGTCCAACCTGGCCTTGAACACTGCCAGGGATGGGGCAGCCACAGCTTCTCTGGGCACCCTGTGCCAGCGCCTCAGCACCCTCACAGGGAAGAGCTTCTGCCTTAGACCAACCTGAACTTCCCATGTTGAAGTTCGAACCCATCACCTTTGTCCTGTCACTCCAGCCCCTGCTGAAGAGTCCCTCCTGGAGATGCAAACAGCTGAACAGGAATATCAGGGTTAAAACAAGGCAAGTTTCAGTTCTCAGTTCAAGATGTATTCTTGAATCTGTCCGAACACATCTGTGGTCTGGGGCAGCACAGGATGAGCAGGCAGGAGGTCTGATGAATGCCTTTGCCAGTGGTACCTGTCTAGGAGCCTGAAG